CCCCCCCCCCTGGCGCCGCCCTGCCATCTGGTTGACATTCTCAATTGATGGGGAGGGGGGTTGGCGGCGCGGGGGCGTATTGTGGAACTCGACCTTGGGGCGGCAGGGAGAGTAAATCCGGCCCTGATTGTATGTACTGTTACTCTGTATAGAGATTCCTAGGAATGTAATCTATCTTCATCTCCTTCATTGTTTATGTTTCCCTTCCACCATCCTCTTGTTTGAGCAGAGCACGGCTTGACCAACATACAGATCATTAAGATCAGTGTCGCGTCGGTGGTCTTCGCGTTGGGACTCGTCTGCCTCATTACAGGAATAGCTTTTTGGAAGAATGCCAAGAGAAGCGGTAAGACGGTCATTAACATACTGGGCAATATGAAGCTGTTGTGTGCGCGTTGTATATACATTTTACCCTTATTCAACTCTATGCACTGCGGTGACATTCGATGAGGTGCGTTGCAGATGCTGCATTTTTACATCATCCACCGCAACGCACCTTATCTTATGGTGTAAACGAGGAACAATGAGGGCCCGTTCACACCACATCCAGATCATCTCCAGACCAGACCAGAATGTTTCGGGACCCAAAATGCATCATAATGTACCCCTCTGCTATTTCTGGCCTCTGTTCACACCAGCGCAGTCCGTTCCAGACCAGAGGAATACTGCAGGCCTCATTTTGTCTGGTATGGAATGCACTGGAAGGCATAGAAACGCACCAAAACACATGCAAATGCAGTGGAGAGCCCATTTTAAGCTTAAAAAAAAAAAGCACACAAAAAAAAAAACTGCTCCGGAACTCGGCAACATTGCAGCAAAAACTCGAAATGCGAAAATGGTGTGAACCTGGCCTGAAAACAGTTTTCAGTGTGCTGGTTACGCTGAGCCTGTGTTGATCTGTGCAGATAAGTACATGGTGTGAAGGAGCCCTTAAAGATCACCTTTCTCCTGAAGAAAGCTATTAAACTGTCAGCAGAATCCCTCAGATACCTCATATAGCACCCCGGGACCCCCAAATCCTGCACCACCGCTATTGTATGTTAGTTTAATCCTTTCTGGGTATGTAGAGAGCTGTCCTACCCCAACCCCTGCATCCCATACTTTCATATTGCCCAAAAAGATTGTAAGTGGCCAGCAGGTAAATACAGAAGAGGGTCAGCTAGATCTTGACACTACCAATAATTTTTTAGGTGAGAGTGGTGCTGGATGAGACTTCCAGAGATATGTGTGTTGCCTAAATGGCAGTATATCAGTTCAGTTGTTAAGCACACTCTTTCTAGGGTCTTGCACTGAGGACCTTTCACTCATTGACTTCTTTTATCCGGAAATCGTTCACTAGTTTTATGTGCCCAACTCCAAGCTGAACTCAATTTTAGGCCTGGTTCACACCTGTACGTTTCTGTAGCGCGTTCAACGCTCTACGAACGCTCTACAAAACGCTCAAACATGAAAATCCCATTGTTTTCCATGGGTATGGTTCACACCTTGCCATATTTCAGCCCGTCTGAACGCGCTACAAAACGGCCTACGCCTGAAAAGGTACATGAGCTTCTTTGCGGCATTTTTGTCGCGTGTTTCCATTGGGATACAGCCAAGTAGCCCTCGGAAACACACGTTTTCTTAACCGCGAATCGCGCATATTCGATACGCCTAGGTGTGAACAGAGCCTAAAGAACTGAGGTCCAATCTGCTGTACTCTAAGGCCCCGTTCACACTTAGCGTTTTATCGCGCGATAATTAATGTTTTGCTGCCATCTAGTGGTAAGTCTGGATCACTGCAAGCTTACACAGGTCCTGTATGTGTTTGCAGTCCTTCCCCTTCCATTTAAATGATTGAGTTTTTGCCCAAATGTCTATTTTAAGTTCATCTTTGGTAAGAGAAATAGGTGGGCTGCTGTTGATGACCCCTCTCTGTGAAAATGCAAGCTTCCTGGCTGTTATGCGTCAGCTTCAATAATTACAGAGTCTTGGCCCAGGACAAGCATAGGCATCGCCCAATTTTCTCTGACTTTCATTTTCTGTGACTCAGGCGTATTTAAGCCTGAAAACTCCCTCTGCCAGTCTGAGTGCTGTTGTGCAGATAATTACAGGAAGCTAATATAAACATTTTCAGGCACAATAAGCCAACATAATTTCATGGTTTTTAATAAACGCATAACCATACTAAATCACGTTTTTATATGTGCCCGGAGTTCAGGTTTAAGGGCTGTGGCAAAGGACTGGGCTCCTTAGTGCAGATGGGTTTGTGAGGCCAACACACTCTTGGTACTGTGTGAATTACTGACAGACATGGCACTATTAATAGAGGCCATGTAGACTACATTCATTAACATTAATGGGGCCCGAGCAGTCTCTCACCATTGATCACATGCTAAGATCTCATTGACATCTCTGCACCTTGTTTGCCTTCTTTCAGAGGTTTCCATACTCCCTGAAGGATCTGTGACTAATGTGTCCACATCTCCCCTGCTTCCCATTGCCTCACAGACACTAGTGGAAGAAGATTTGGATCTCGGGGAGGAGAGTGAGACATGTTCAGTGCAGGGTGAGCTGTCGGTGGGGGAATTACCAAGCCTCTCCTCCTGGGGGGCTTCCTCAGTCCCCTTCTACCAGGGGTGTGCATTGATGGATGAGGATGAAGAACAGGCTAATGACAGACGCTGTGTCCCCATATAATGTCACCATCAGGACGCGACTACTAACACAGCAAATTCAGCATCCTTTACTGCCCCATGACAGCCAAATCCATTTTTTTGTAGTTTGAGAGATGAAAGTAAGAATACTATGGTTGCTGTGGGGCAGTAGACTTCTCTTAGACCCTTTGGTATATGAGGTCCTGGAATCGTTATTGTTATCTGTCTTTCAGTCATAATTTTCCTATAAATCAGAGTCAATGTGCAGCCAAAATATATAATTTAATATTCTTTTAAAGGTAATGAGGCTAGTCCTATTCCTATAGTGAGTCCAAATTGCTGTCATAAGGCTGCATAGACAACCTTTGTACCTTGTGTGGGAGCAGTGGTCTCTCTGCAGCAGTCCCACATGCCCCATGGTGCGTCACAGCTGAAGCTCACTGAATGGTGGGCAACCCAAGCTTTGCTAGTTAAGGAATTGTAGGTCTGACTTAGCAGGTGCCAAATTAGACCACTGCTTCCACATAAAGAGCAGCGGCAGTGGCGTCACAAGGGGGGCGCGGGGGGTGCGGTCCGCACCCGGGTGACACCATTGGAGGGGTGACACCAAAATGACTGACAGTCATTTTGGTGTCACCCCCTCTAAAAAGTCGGGCGCTCGGTCATGGCCCGAGAGGACCATGGAGTGCCAGGAGAGACGAGGGGACTCGGCAGCATACTTCATCCTGCCGGGTGAACGTCCCCTCCTCTCTCTGCCGGCGTCCATCACCAAGATGGCCGCCGGCAAGCGTCAATTAGATAGCTGCACATGCACCATGATGTCATCGCGCACGCGCGTGGTAAGGCCACATGCATGCGCGATGACGTCACGGCGGTTCTCACATACTTATAGTTTTGGTACATCAAAAGGGGATTGTACCCGAGATTGTCCATCCAGACTGTAATGTATATGGTCAGCGTTGCATTGACATAATATACTGTACATCAGTGGGGAGCTTGTAGCCTTTTTAATTATCTTTACTGTAATTCCGATTCCAGGAAAAGAGGACATACCTTTATAACAAGTATTATAGAACACAGAGTTCTAGAACACTTCTGATGTTTTCTTTATGCATAACTGACATTGAGATATACAGTTCTGTGGTTGTCATGGTGACCCACATACAGGGAAAAACGTGTTCAGTAATAAGAATAAACCAAGTTCAATGTCACTGTAGGATGTTACAGAACATCTGGGCACCTTGTACCTAGTCGTTTCGTAGTGTCGATCCGTAAGCACTGCTCCCTACTGTCTTGGTACATTAAATTTCGTTGATCCAACCGAGTTGTGTCTTTCCTTTTTAAAGTGAATCTGTGCCGGACATTGAAGTACTCACATGTTCTTAACAAGCAGTAAATGAGATTAAAAACGAGCCATCACTGACCTCTCTAACTGATTGTACTGTGAAGTAATTAATTCTTAAAGTTCACAACAGAGGAGAAGTTGGGGAGAAGAGAAGTTGTAGTTGGTTTCTAACACCTGACAGCACCCGAGTTTTGTTTATATTAGGGGGCTGGCAGGCTGCTAAGTTTCGCCTCTCCATAAAAAATAAGGGGAGAGGAGTTGTGAATTCAGTGCCTCTGTTGTGAACTTTGAAGATGTATTTCTCCCCAGTGCCTGCAGCTAGAGAGGTCAGCAATGGCTTATTGTAAAGCCCAGCTCTGACCTAAATGTTTATTTATGAATAGCCTAGCATAGCATATGAATGTCCCCCCAGGCAGTGTTAAAAAAAAAAAAGGCAGCTAATTTCCAACTTGGAGCTGTCCCCTGTAGTACTTCTTCGTTGACAAAAGATGTCCTCAGTCTTCCAGGTTCAATGACACCCAGGGTCAGAGCATCACGGCCACAACATACAGAACCCTTCATTTATAGTGTACTGGTGCAGAGAGCAGCACTGACATAGTCAGCACCCAACCTAGAGAAAAGCTGAAATTAAAGATGACACTGCAGTATCACATTCCTGACAAGAAGAATGTGAAAAGGTGCGTATCACAACACAAAACGCATAACATACCGCCAGTGGGGGCCACAAGGGGGTCAATCTATGGAGGAGTTGAACTTTAAAGCTCTTTTACTTCACCATGGATACTTTAATGTCCATGGTCTGGGTACGGGTGCACTTAAGGGCCTTGCAGTTCTGGCAAAAATAGTGGTGCCTACAGATCTGACCACCCCCTAATGTATAAGGCAGCCTTAGAGCTTTTTGCTTTAAATGTCCCCATAGAACTTATAGAGCAATCAGACATCTAAGAAGGATCCAGGTATTCAGGAATCTGAGATGTGCATTGCTTTCCCAAGCATTACATTGTTTGGGCATTTGTGTTTAGGCCTATGGAAGGAAGTGAGGGCGGGGAGGTGCTTTAGGAACTGGCTTATTAGGAAGAAAATTAGAATGATTGGACAAGATTTTCTAACCTCTCCTTCCCTGGCCAACCTTGATTGCTGCATCTTCCAATGCTCCATAGATATTAGAACATCTCATGATCTGGCCAGAAGACTGATGTCTGATATCTATGAGCACCTTTAGTCTGGGTACACACAAGGATCAACATCAGGGGTTTTGGAACTTGTAGTAAATTGGAACTGTAGTCTTAAGATTAAAAATTACTCTCAGGTAGACTCTGTAGGTCTCTCCTTCAATTAAAGCTCTTCTTCTGCCTGCAAGCAATGTTTCCTTCTATATATACAATGAGTTGCACATGCACCGCTTAGTGTATATTCACAGCATGCCTTGGGTGCCGGGATGAATGAACACATGTGCACACCAAACAGGAGTTACGTCATCCTGAGCCGGGCAATCAAGATGACCAAATGCACTGAACCCCAAAGAAGACCGGTATGAAGATGTTTAGGAATTTCAGGAAAATTTGTACGAATTTCGATTCGTAACGAAACGAATCGCACATGTCTAGAAGATGGACATGGCGGTGAAGGAGTGATGAAGGAGATTGTGGCCATTACATTGCTGGTGGGAGGCACTTTGGCAGTTAAATCTGCTGGACATACTTGCACATTATGGCAAAAGCCCGGTCCAGGCAGCACAGGCACCAGGAATTGGTGATGCTGATCAATGGCCTAGAGCAGGAGAGACACCTTACTACAGATCATTAGTTTTAGGTGAAGTGTTTTTAAAGCAGAGCTTTTTTTTTTTTTCCAAACTGTTCCATTTTTTATATAATGGACATAGAGAGAGGACTGTATGTATTAAACATTGTTCTATGTCTGTCTGTCTATCTATCTACTTGTTTCTCTTTGTATTGGTTGTGTTAACCTGCTTTGTGCAAGTGCACGCTCTATGTATGTCCTGTAACTCTGTACATGTTTTATGTCTGTACTGTATATTAGCAGCATGAATGTGTCTTTATGTTTTTTTTTCTGTCTGTATTTGTATTTTCTACTTGTTTATTTTTGCCCCTAAAATGAATCACCTTTGTCAATATAAATGTATCACGTTGTCCTTGTGTGTGTGTTTTTCTTTATCATTGTATCAGATGTTTGTCTCTGTTATTGTCAGTTAATGTTTATTTCATAACAAACCAGTGTGACTTTCCTGCTGGAAAACATAAGGTAGACTGTGTGATTATTTGACCCATTTGAAGTGCCTGAGGCTTGTCCACCTGTGCCTTGTGCACTTTCACAGGCAAGTCCACCTAAAATTAGATCAACCATTGGTCAGGGTTCCAACACAAGGGGTTCTCTGGATGGACAAGGTGATCTCACCTCTTTTCCATTCACATAGCGCTTTGTTTTACGTGAACAGAATATAAGGCTCCATTCACACCTGACCGCACATATTCTGCTGTACTGATACGCGCAGAGCCGCTCTAAACAGAGAATACAATGCACTTTAATGTGCATCGTTCAGACCATTGCGGGGACCACGTGGCACGAAACCACGCGGCCCCCAAAATAGTACAAGTGCGATAATCTGGCGGATTCCGCACGTTCGCGGCTATTTAATAACCGCAAACTAGCGGCATCTGTGCGGATCTAAAAATATTAGCGTTTTTGTCCCGCACGGTCTTCGGCATGGAAAACCATGCAGGAAACGCAAATGCTATATGTGAATAGAGCCTAAGAGGTCCTGTGAGTGGACGTGGGGTTGGAGGGGCGGCTAAACAACACAATCCTTTATTATATGAGACCCGTAGCAGTTACAGCTCCGGAAGTGTAGCACTGAATGTACGTTTGGGCACCAAGGAAGCTCAGACTGTTGTGTTAAAGCCAGGGACGTATTTCCCTCGGGGCAGCAGGGGTGGGGAATTCCTATCTCCCGATGCCCGGGACATGCAGTTCCGGGCACCGGGCAGGTAGTTGTTTTCCACATTTAGCTCTGCTTTGGGCAAGCAGAGCTAAATGTACAACAGGGAAGCCTCCGATTGTTTTGTACAAGTGATCCCGGCGAAGTTGCTGAGATCACTTGTATGCAGCCTGCATGCAGGGGGTCGCATTGAGGAACCTGGCCCTGGTTAAAGTGGACCGGATCAGACCAGCAATAACCTTCATTAGAAGCATCTGCACAAAGCAAAACCCAGAAAATAAGTTTATTTCTTGGAGTTTAATTGCCCACCTACTCACCTTTCCTTTGCCTCCACACTGCTCCAGGTTATAGCACTGGACCAATCACCAGGCACCAGGGCTGTCACATGAGAGGGAGGCAGTGGGTCACATGCTTCCCCATGCATGAAAGTACCCAGAATTTCTTCTCACTTTCAGCAGCAAGACAGAAGGAGTGTCTGATAAGGAACAAACATTGTATTCACATGATAACAAAAGTGTACATAAATGGTTATATCTCTATATACTCTGCAGCTCCCAACTAATGCATCTTAAGCAGACCACACACACAACAATCTGATTGTACAACCTCCTTTAGATCTACCAAAAAGTATGTAGTCTAAATGTCTGCCGGATTGGATACACATTGAATTGGTTGTTTAGGTTTGTCCTCATATTACAGGTTTGGTAAATGTAAAGGAGATTGTACAGAGATTCTACAATCAGAATGCAAAGTGTATGGCCGGCTATAAGAAAACAAATGTTTGGATTTTCGTGTAGGATCTCCATTGCTTTACCAAGATAACACTGTCATTTTGGAAGGCTGCTCCCAACATATGTCCCGATCATAATCTATAATGAGCCATCACACAGATAAATAGTATATAGTGCCAAGAGCAGTGTACTGTATACTGACACATTGCAGTCTGTATTGTCTGTATCTCTCCCGCTCTCACTTCTATTGTGTGACAGAGAACACAATGTACCTCAGCAGCCTTGAACCCGTCCATTGTGGTCACATGTCTCTATGATGCACATCCAGAATTGTACACATTACTCATACGTGAGGCTTTTTAGCTTCATGCCCCTCAGCAAGCCAACGCAGTCACGTTTGTAGAATTTTTTTTTTCCATATTAAGCTAAGTTGAATTTTTATAAACAGAAGGTGTTTGAATGTCATCTCATTTCTTTTGCCTATCAAAAAAATAAGCGGTTTATTGCCTATTCTATCTGAGATAGTGGGCGGGGATATGCAAATTATTGGGCTTAAACTCTATGTAAAGCCAAAACTTCTTTTGAGTGTTTTCAATAGAGTGATGAGGGGTTTGACCTCATGTGAGAGTTTTATTGTGTGGGTCCCTGCTGGGGAGATTCATCCACTCTATGTTTCCTGGTGACCATTGTCTCCGGTACAGAAAGTGAAAGGAAATTTATCATTTTATAGTTGTCACAGGAGGTGTGGGGAAATCTTCCATTGGGGACACCAGTTCTGGTGACAACTCTCTAAGAGGGGATATCCCTTTGTTTTGGAGAGATCTCTGCTTATGTCCTGCTGTGTTTGTGGGACAGGAAATGAACGGAAATCTTCCTGATGGAATATAGAAAGTAAAAAATAAATAACAGGGGTCTTAACTTGGGATGCACCGATACCGATACTAGTATTATTATTATTATTACATAGTATTTATATAGCGCCAACAGTTTGCACAGCGCTTTACAATATAAGGAAGACATTACAATCACAATACAATTCAAGGCAAGATGGAAAGGAGTACTAGTATGGTGCTGATACCGAGTATTTGGGGGCGAGTACTCATACTTGCCCAAATGCTCCGATGCCTAGGCCGATACCCGAACTTCCGATATCAGGGAGGTGGGCAGTCAATCATTACATGCTTGGTGACGAGAAAGCATGGAACCAGCTTCCCGGCCAATCAGGAAGCCGGGCAGCTTGTAATGGCTCGCCGCCTAGCTTCCTGATTGGCCCGGAAGGCGCCCAATCCCGAAGCCGGACGGCGAGTCATTACCTGCCCCATTGATTGGCCAGAAAGCTGGCTTCATGCTCTCTCGTCACCTGGTGACGAGGGAACATGGAGCCGGCTTCCCGGCCAATTAGGAAGCCGGGCGCCGTGTAATAACTCGCCGCCTGGCTTACAGATTGGTTGAAAAGCTGGCCAATCAGGAAGCCAGGTGGCGAGCCATTACCCGCACCCCCCGACTTCCTGATTGGCCAGAAAGCCGGATCACCTGGTGACGAGAAGCATGGAGACGGCTTCCCTGCTAATCAGGAAGCCGGGTGGCGAGTCTTTACACGCCGCCTGGCTTCCTTAATGGGACATTCGGTATCGGCAAGTACCGAAAAAAAATATCGGTACTCGTACTCGATACCGAAAAAACGGTATTGGTGCATCCCTAGTCTTAACCATTCCCTGTTCTATACAAAACAAAAAAGTATTGGATGAATACACATTAATGACATAAAGTTTGACTTGGGTATTATAGTTGGGCGGGGCTTCATTAGGATGGGGACAAGACTAATAATTAAAAAGCATTCTGAGTTTAAAAAGATGAGCAGTGCCCTCCTCCTCACCCAAAACCAGCTTCTTTTCTCCAGCACTACAGGTCCTCTTTAAAGTATCATTTCTGTATGATGTAAGCAGTGAGACGGGACAATCACCTTTTTACCTGGATGCGGTCAGTCTAGAAATGAGGGCGATTATCAGTACAACGTCCGTCTCTTTTATTTTTCAGGTTACTCTCCCATTCCAGGATATAATGCTGTCAAGTGAATCCTCAGCTGGTATGTACGGAGGTGAGGACTCAATACATTTCTGTTCTCCCAAAAAGTAGAACCTCAGACAAAATGTTGTTTTTGTTTTTCATTCTGAATAGAACTGGGAACGTTAAAACTTCTGTCCGCATGGTATTTCTCAGGACGGGTTTCCGGATGGTGACAACAGTGGACCATGTCTGAATAATATGTGCTGACATGGCTACTTGTAGCCTCCATTGGAAGCCTGTGTGACAGGGTGAAAACGTAGAATCACAGTGTTGTCACTTTTAAACAGGAAGTGCTTAAACAATGACCTTAATTTTAGAATTACCAGGTATTATTGTATGTGTATATTATCCAAAACAATCTATGTATCAATTTAGGTTACTTATACATGTCTTTGCCAATGTAGTCTCTATAAATTGTACCTGAATATACTGTATATGGTACCTATTTGGTACCTCTCTATATGGTCCCTGAATATTTTCTGTTTTATAATGTGCGTTTGCTGTTGCTGTTGTGCGTTCACATATATTTTAGTGAAAGCAAATTTAAAGGAAATCTATCATGATAAAATAATGGAGGCTGCCATTGCTGTCCTCCTTTTCAAAAATGTTAGGACCCTGGCTGTTATGTCATGCTGTCTTATGTTGGCCTATAATTGAATACAGGGGAGGAAAATAGACAATTGCAGAATTAAGTAACATTCCTACTTCTGATTCCTGCAGGTTTTCGGCAGAGATGTTTCTCTTCTCACTGAGGAAGAACTTTGCACAGACCACACCTAGTTTGGGGTGTGACAACAGCTTCTTTTTGCATCTCCGGAGGTGTGAGAGTTGTCAAAAGAATTCTGCAAAAACCCATTCTATCGTACACCCCCTCAGTGGAGATAACTTGTATTCAGTTTCGGAGGTCAAGGCTCCAACCATCTGCGATGTGAAGAACACTCTTAGGTTATCTTAGATACCGGAACACCATCATGTCCCAATCACAGAGTCACTTTCCACTCAGGGCCGGATTTACTCTCTCTGCTGCCCCAAGGCCAGGCTCCTCAATGCGTCCCCCTCCCCGCCAACCCCCCTATGGGGAATGACAACCAGATGGCGGGTGGCAGCCGTTGTTGGTTTTAATTTTTTAACATTTTTTTCTTATTTTAATTTTTGATCACTTTTTTTTTAACTTTTTTAATTTTTTCTTTATCTTTTACTTTTTTGTGTTTTTATACTTTTTTTATCTTATAATTTTTTTGCCCTTTGTATCACTTTTTTTATTTTATTTGTTGTTTTTTTAAATGTTTTATTTTATTATTGTTTATAAAAAAAATTTCACTTAACTTTATTGCTGTCACACAGGAGCTACCAAACCCCTGTGTGATAGCATTTGGAGGTGACAGGTTCTCTTTATGGAACCTGTCGCCTCCAATGAGTATCACAGAACTGCAGGCTGCATGCAAGCCGAGACCACTTGTACAAATTTAGCTTTGCTTGCCCAAATCAGAGCTAAATGTAGAAAACAACTACCCGCCCGCCGCCCGGAACTGCATGTAGATAGGAATTTCACACCGCTGCTGCCCCTCTACTCCCTGCTGCCCCAAGGCCGGGCCTTGGTGGCCTTGTGGGAAATCCGGCCCTGCTTCCACTCATTGTCCTAAATGCAGTACTTGGTTTGTTGGGTGCATTAAAGTCAAATTGTTCGGGTTACCCAGCCAATCAGATTCTCATTTTCATAAGAAGCTCATGGGACCGTATGGGACAATACAGACAATTCTTATTTCATGCACTCTCACGCATTAGGACCATTATGGGATGTTTGCCGGGCGTTTTATGTACCTTTAGCTTCTCTCCCCAGTATTTGCCTCAGTCTACCACTCTTCATGTTTGTGTGGCTGCAACTCATGTTTAGCTAAATTTGATCTTCATAAGATGAGGGATACAAACACTGATTGCATTAGGTGGAAAGCAGGGGCTGATGATGTCACAATGTACCCTCATCCAATCAGAAAATGCCTTATATTTATTGGAAGAGAAACAAGATTTTTTTCGTGAGTGGAGGAAGTGCCAAGAGATGACTTCCTGTGTTTAATGTACCAAAGTGAACAGGAAAGGCACAGACCACTATGGTGAGACTCCCCTGCAGCCCTCCGGATGTGACATATCGGTAATTACAGGAAACCAAGCTGGCCTAATGTAAATGTTTAAAATAGATTATTCCTAGCGTTAGTTCACCTTTAACTACCTCTTGTTGTGTGCCAGTTTACCTTGAGTGAACCTGTGCCCAGACTATCCACATTAAAGTATTTACATATTCTGAACAAGCAGTAAAACACTTTAAAACATTCACCTCTGTAGCTATGGGCATTGTGGAGAAATCCATCTTCAAAATTCACAACAGAGAGAGACAATGACATCACAACTCATCTCAGGATCCAAGACAGCCAGAAGAGAGAGCGAGGAGAAACAAGCAGAGGAGAGAGCAAGGAGATACAAGCAGAGGAGAGAGAGTGAAGATAGATAGCCAGGGGAGAGAGCAAGGAGAGACAGCCAGGGGAGAGAGCAAGGAGAGACAGCCAGGGGACAGAGCAAGGAGAGACAGCCAGGGGAGAGAGTGAAGATAGACAGCCAGGGAAGAGAGCAAGGAGAGACAGCCAGGGAAGAGAGCAAGGAGAGACAGCCAGGGGAGAGAGCAAGGATAGACAGCCAGGGGAGAGAGCAAGGAGAGACAGCCAGGGGAGAGAGCAAGGAGAGACTGGTCCATGTACAGATTCACAGAACATTGCTACACCTTTATTACAGGATGTTCATTTATGGCTGTGGCTTCCTTTGTGGCTTGTTTGTTCAGATGTTTAAATGATTCTGTACAGATCAGAGGGAGTTGTTATCGCCATATAAATGAATACAAATTATTATATTAAGGAATTATTTTGTCAGATTTTGATATTAAGGTACAGTTTCTTTTATTCTCCCTGTTTTTCAGGTCATTGTGACATATTTATTATTGTTTTCTATGTTAGTGACTGTGATAGGATGGTGAAGTCTCCTCCTCCCTCTGTATATATCTCTGTGTGTAGTTTAATTTATATACATCGTGCCTGAAAAGAGAAGACTACCATTCAGCTCTCTGGTTAGCTAACTCATAGTGCTCTGAGAGTCCTTTGTTATGTATTTAATTTTATTTAAAATACAAAGATATTATAAACTCTTCTTCCTCCTCTTCCTGATCGCTGATGGGCCCCGCCTCCTCCTCCGTCGCCAGGCCCGCCTCCTTCTCCGTCGCCAGGCCCGCCTCCTTCTCCGTCGCCAGGCCCGCCTCCTTCTCCATCACTGGGCCTCGCCTCCTCCTCTGCTGCCGACCACGGGCCCCCGCCTCCTCCACTGCCGGGTCCAGCCTGCTCCACCGCCGCTGCTGGCTCTCCTTAACTCCGCAGCAGCTGTGAGAAGAACAGCCGCAAGTGAAAGCCACCAGCATAAGATGCTATAGCCACCCAGGCGGCCCGCACGGCATCTGGCCGGGCCCCCCTGTGCCCCGCCTGGGTCGCTATGGCGATTGTTACGCTACTGTGTCTTCCCCCCTCCTCCCCCCCAAAAATCCTGTAGCACATTTTAAAGAAGCCTATGGGGGGGGGAGGGGGGGATTGGTTTATATACATTTATATATATGCATCAAGGTACCTAGACAAGGGTGACATCACTATATTTTCCTGCAAGATCCTGGGCATTGCTGCGTTCCAGCAATCTCACAAAAAGACTCTATTGCACTGGGTTAGAGTGACTTCTAGTGAGATTTTTGGAATTCAGCAATGCTACAGTAAAGGGGTGATGTCACGCTTGCCTACTGCACTCTTTTGTACAATATACAGTTCATTAAAATTGTCTTGTAAACAATAAACAAATACTTATTTTGAGTGCAGCCACTACTCTTAGAGCTAGTTCACGCCAGATGCAGTCTGTTCCGTTTTTGAGCTGCATCAAAAACGCATCACAATGCTTTTCTATGGGATTCTTGTGCACTGTTCACACCAGAGCAGTCCATTCCGATGCAGCCAGAAAAAGTACTGCTTGCCCTATTTTAGCTGCATCGGATCGCAACGAAATGCATGCAAATGCAACGAAAAGCAATTTTAAGCAGAAGACCCCCCCCAAAAAACTCAGTACACAAAACGCATAAATTGCGGTAAAGTCGTGGTAAAAAGCATGACACATGCGGTTCTGGTGTGAACTAGTCATAATTACACAACGATACCTCTGAAAGCCGCTCTCTACAAGGAGCTCTCCAAACTTTACATGTGTACACTTGCCTCAGAGCTATATAACAACTGCTGCCAACTGGGCCATAGTGTGCTTTTTACCCGGTTTAACAAGGAGATTGATAATGGCTAACTTCAACACGTTTCACAGTCAGTCTGTAAATCCCAAAGTGCAGAACTCTGATGCCACAGCTCACTCCAACAAGATACTGCTCAATACCTCATAAGGTCTGCTCCGCTCTCACGCATTTCACCACAGACGGGCCTAATCATAGAGGTATGTCGGCAGCCAGCTTGATCAGGAATACAGAGGTAAAGAGGTATTAAATTGGGTATCAATGAATGAGATTGTATGCAGAGGCGTAACTAGAACCTTCAGGGCCCCGGTGCAAGAAACCATGAAGTGCCCAACTCCCCACCGCCATGACACCGCATGGTTAAGAACAAGCGCGGGACCTCAGGCAGCTGCTTGTTTAAAATTTTAGCGCAGTGTTCTGTCGAGAACGCTGACCCAGTATCTGCGCTTATGTACAGATGGGATTACCGAGGAAACCGGCATTTATTTACAAAGTATTCGTTTGTATTTGTCAATTGTGACCGTTAATAATATGCCGTCCATGGCAGTAAATGATGGATGGCAGTAAATGATGGCTGGCAGTAATGACGGATGGAATATTATTAACGGTCACAATTAACAATTTAAACAAAATATTTTGTGAATAAATCTCGGTTTCCTCAATAATACTGATCTGTGCACAACAAGCGCAGATGCTGAGGTCGGCAAATTCGGCTACATCAAGTGTGACAGACTCTCCAGCCCTGCCGCACAGCCGCCCGTACATGCTGTGGGTGGCAGAGTGGCAGGGAAGGAGTGGCACGATCTCGGGGGGGGCCCTCTTCTTCCTCGCTGGACCCCCCCCCTGCAGGCGGAATGCCAGGGCCCAGTCGCAATTGCGACCGCTGCGACCCTCCCTGGTAGTCCCGCCAGTGATTGAATGCCCACAAAGTAAAACCTTCCCTGGTGGGGGTTGCAGGGTCAGATAAGAGGACAGCTGTATCTTAATAGACTGTAAATATAACTGTAGATACTCTAATAGAAAAAGAGATTGAGGACACAGAGTCTCTGCAGCCCCTGTTATGAATGAACAGGAATCTTCTCTGCTGAGTGCTCCTGTCCATTCATAACTTGTGGAGATAGTATGTTTACTATATCCTCAATCATGAATGAACAGGAAGTGATGTAGAGCATCACTACTATAGAATAGTCCTCAAATATTTACAAACACTCAGTGATCACTGATCGCTGAGTGCTTGTACCCACTCTCCATCCTGACTTGCTGTCACAGGAGGCTGAGCTGGTGGTTTGGGAGGAGAGCTTGGTCTCATTTGACAGCTAACTCCTCCCCCACACCGCCGGATTGGCATCCTGTGACAGCTGTGTTCTCCCTCACACCCTACTCTCCATGCTGATCTGCCACAGGAGGCTGAGCGGGTCGGTGCGGGAGGAGAGCTCATCCTCCTGTGATAGACCGAAGACAGCGCTCTCCTCCCCGCCTCGCTCGGCTTTCTGACAGTTTCTCTCCTCCCCCTTGGACGCTGCTCTGTGTCAGAGGGGACACAGAGCAGCACACAGTGGGGAGGAGAGAAACTATGGATGCACCGCAATTTCGGCCGAAAGATGGTACTTTTAGCATTTTGCCCAAAGTGCCACTTTCGGTCAAAATGTTTCAGCGGCCAAAATGTCATAAAGGGTAGGGACTAAAGGGTAGTTCCTACCATTTATGCTGCCTGAGACAGCAGAGCAGGGGTTGGGGTGTTGGCGGTGCTATTGATAGTGCTGGGTGGGTGAGTGTGTTAGCGGGAGCTGCGGATAGTGCTGGGGGGTGGCGGCAGGTGCACCTTATAGTGCTGGGGTGAGGTACGTTGTGGTGGGAGGAGTGGCTGTGTTGCTGTCAGCAGCTCACAATAGTCACTGGTTGTTGGGAGCTTGTGGGATGCCAGCTAGAGCATCCCGCTCAGCTCCCTGGCAATCGAGGACATCAGTGAACTGGAAGCTGGACAGAGTTACATGGACCATATTATTCTAATCCCGTCTCCGGCACAGTTCTCCCATGATTGGGGTATGGCTTTCTTCCATACATGGACAACCTTATTCTAATCTCGGCTCCGGCACAGTTCTCCCATGATCGGGTTATGGCTTCCTTCCATACATGGCCCATCTTATTCTAATCCTGGGTATGGCTTCCTTCCATACATGGACCACCTTATTCTAATCCCGGCTTTTGCACAGTTCTTCCATTATCGGGGTATGGCTTCCTTCCATACATGGACCATCTCTTTCTAATCCCGGCTCCTGCACAGTTCTCCCATGATCGGGGTATGGCTTCCTTCCATACATGGACCATCTCTTTCTAATCCCGGCTCCGGCACAATTCTCCCATGATCAGGGTATGGCTTCCTTCCATACATGGCCCATCTTATTCTAATCCTGGCTCGGGCACAGTTCTCCCATGATCAGGGTATGGCTTCCTTCCATACATGGACCACCTTGTTCTAATCTCGGCTCTGGCACAGTTCTCCCATGATCGATGAAGTATTTTTTCTGGCCATTACTTTTTCGATTGGTTCCCCCTCAACTCCTTATCATGTAGTTAAAAAAGTAGACTGGAGAAGAACAAAGAGCCAAATAGGACAGAATGGACAAGCATGGTTCTCTACATTAGCCACAAACTCACATTCAGCCATTAAAGCCTAAGTTTACTTTTTTAGACCACGTTTCATGTTGCATCCATATTCAAGATTGTAACCTGAAACACGATCACATCAACAACCTTCCACCTCCATCCTGCCCCCTACTTACCTGAATCGCGGGGTTTCTTCCCTACACAGGCTCCGCTCAGGGTCGGATTCACTCTCTCTGCTGCCCCAAGGCCAGGTTGCTCAATGCGCCCCCCCTACCCGCCAACACCCCACATGGAGAAAGGCAGGCCTGCATTCTGCATACAAGTGATCTCGGTGATATTGCCGCGATCACTTGTACAAAACAAGCAGCGGCTTCCCCGCTGTACATTTAGCTCTGATTGCCCAAAGCAGGGCTAAATGTAGAAAGCAACTACCTGCCCGGCGACCCGGAACTGCATGTACCAGAAGTGGGTTGAATGATGCTGGTCATCAGACTGAGGACAACTGGTGGCAGAAAAACAGAAAACTGCAGCGAAAGCTGATTTTGTTATTTTTATCTTTTAATGGTCTACGTGCTATATCAGGTTATTTTTAGCTTCAATTTTGCTGCTTCTATAATTCTTTTTTAATAGCTTAAAGGAATGATAAATAAATTACTTCTGTTTAATTGTTTTCATAGATCCACTTTGAAGCTTCTTCCCATTTTCTTTCAAGTAGTTCATAACCATTTACAAACACACCCGGCCAGTTCTCTGTAAAGAGAAGCACAGAAATAACATGCGGTGTAAATATAAAATAAAATTCCCCTTGCACATTCGTGGTTTGGTTCAGTGTGAACACACAAAGCAAAAAGTCCCTTACAAGTAGGAGCAAGTGTCTACCTAGTAACAGGTGATGTCACCCCACGCCTGTTTTTCTATTGGCTGCAGATTTCAGGGCTGAGTAACAAACTTCTTCTGGGTTTCAGTTTACTCTGAGGATTGAATTGACGAGTCTGCAGAGATGAGCGGAGCTTTTATTGTATTGCTGCTGATATACGGCACGCTATGGACCCCGGGAACAGGTATTCTACTCATTTCTTCATCTTCTCATCGTTGTAACAATGTAACAATTTGACTATCAGGGTAATCCCGCAGTGTTAGGCCATGTTCACACCTGGGCGATCCGTGACCGCGCGGCAATCGTGCACCATATGGTCACGTAGTCGCCCATCACCGACAAACGCGCTGTGGGTGCCATTATTTTTTAAATGGCACCCCAGTCACACCAGACGGATCGCAAGGTTTCCCGCCGCAATTCCGCCCGTGCAACTGAACACCATCGCGGCTGAAACATCCGTGCGTCTTGTATTGCAAAAAAAAGGTACATGTAATTGCTGTCTGTAATTGTGCGATCTTGGATCGTTCAGGTCTGCACCGGCCCTCAGTATTATTTTTTTTCTTGTTCCTTCTAAAGCTGAACTCCAGGCAAACAGCTAAATTTACAGATGAAATTGAAATATATAAAGAATTGGTTTACCTGCCAAAGGATTTGTAGTTCTATCCATGTAGTTCTGAGATTTACACAGCTCTGCCACACAGCACAACCCTGTCTGGCAGGGAAGGTGACCTGATTTTTCTCTGTGACAGTTAAGTAAATCTTACAGGTCTTTTCCTTACCCAGCCTGTGTCTGGACAGAACAGAGAAGCAGCAGACTAATGAGCTCATCTCTGTGACACTCTGTTATTGTCAGCATGCTCCTTGCACTGTGGCACAACGAATCCTTGTGCGCCTCGTGAAAATGCCCCGATACCAATAACCGATACCTGTGCTTTAATTTTTTCGAAATGAAGCGGCTGCTGGGGACATTGCAGCAGCTTTCTACAGCACTTCAGCCAGCTGGCACATCTTCCTCTTCTGAGACCCTCTGCACATCTCCCCCACCTGAGACCCTCTTCCAGAGACATCAGGCAGGCACCCCGGAGCAAAGCAGCAGCACAGAGTACATAGCAATACATATATACTATTATTCTGCATTGCTGTATAATGTATTGCTGAGATTTGTAGTCCATCTGCAGCTTGAAGTCAGTGGCAGAACTACCAGGGGCGCAGTGGTTGCAGCTGGTACTAGGCCCCGACACTCCACCACTGTCCTAAAATGATTAGTATTTATTGTTTTGGAAAAACTGTCACATGACACACAAAAAAGGTATCGGTAATTGGTATTGGCGAGTACGTGAGGAAAAGTATCGGTACTCGTACTCGGCCTGGAAAAATGGTGCATCTCTAATTGTGATACCATCATGTAGAATGCAAAGACAATAGCGTGAGGGCGCCAATGGACGGAGCATCAGGGAGAAGATATGAGTGCTGGATGCCCATGGCAGAGAGGGCTAGGGTAAGTAAAAGTTACTTTTCCAGGTCCCATAGAGGCATTAGTGAACATTTAGCTCTTGCAAGGCAGAGAGTAGTGATGGGCCGAACACACCCGAGTTCTTATGGAGTTTGAACTTTAGAACATGGAAAAAGTTCGAACTCGAACTTCAAACTCAATGAAAGTGTATGGGACCAGAACTCTGAAAATCAAATGTCCCCTTTTTGAAGGCTTATATGCAAGTGAATGGCCATAAAAGGTGTATGGGGATACGGGTACTGCCCGGGGGGACAGGAATCAATGAAAAAAACACTTTAAAAAACAAACAGTTTTTAAAGGAGCAGTGATTTTAACATCACTTAAAGGGTAACAATAAAAATGAAAAATTCCTTTAAATATCGTGCCTGGGGGGTCCCTTAAACTGCCTGGAAAGTGGCGCATCTGTATGATGTATAGAACCTTCTGCAGCAAAAAGTGACTTTTCTAAAGAAACAAAAAAAAAAGCGTGCGGTTCCCCCCAAAAGTCATACCAGACCCTTAAGGTCTGGTAGGAATTTTAAGGAGGAACACCACCCCCAAAAATGCGGGAAAAAAGACGTGGGGTCACCCTAAAATTCCCAATCAGACCTTTGATCTGAGCACAGGCCTGGCAGGGCAAGAAAGGGGGGGACATACCAAGCCACATGCCCTCGGCACTGGGAGGGTGCTTTTTTAGTGTTGCCCCTGGAAAAGCACCTTGTCCCCGTGCCGATGGGGACATGGGCCTCTTCCCCACAAGCCCTAGGGCGTTGGTTGTGGGGGTGCGGACAGGAGGGCTTATTCACATCGGGTACCGCTTTAATAAAGGGTCATCCAGATGCCGCCCCCCACCTTGTGAATGAGTAAGGGGTCCTTGTACCCCTACCCATTCACGGAAGGGTTAAAATAAATTGTAAATAAAAAAAACACTACTTTTGAAAAAATCCTTTAATTAGAAAGAAAAAAAGACATGTTTTTGACAGGTATTTTATTTTTAAAAAAAAATGGATCCACCGACGTAATCCTAAGGTCAATCACGACGTCCAGCGTTGTCCACGAGGATGACGAAATAAAAAAGAAAAAAATAATTTTAAAAAAAACAGACGCCCGCCGACCGGTCTGCTCGCGACGAACTCCCGCCGCAGAATGGCATTCTGACAGATGCCGGCAAAATATAAACAACTGGGCTGAGCTAGCGCTGACAGCTCCGCCCAACTGTTTACAGTTGTAAACCTAGCTGTGTGAGCCATGATTGGACAAAGTCATCATTACTTTGCCCAATCATGGCTCTCACAGTGCAATGTGCTGTGATTGGGTAAAGTCTTACACCCGACATGCGGTCAGGTGCAGTGCTTTACCCAATCAGGGCTTCACAAGGCACTCAAACTCTTGCTCGATTCGAACATTGAGCCCATCCCTAGCGGAGGGGAGCTGTAAAGCCCCCCAATTTTCAGCTTTAACTACCAGCAGAATCTTTACATCTGACACTTCCAGGAGGTTCTGATGCGTCCGGTCCCTCTCTGCGGGCTGTGGTCTCATCTACTGGGCTCGACGGCCCTGCTGTGTCCTGTAGTGATGTGGTGGCCGGTGGATGGAAGAACCAGGGAAAAGGACACCAGGGATTCCTGCCACAGTAATCTGTAGGTTATTGCTGCGATCTGCCCCGTGTGAACGGAGCCCTAGATGGGGAACTTATCCACTCATAATTCTTCAACAATTATTTCTTGTGTTATATCGCCATCATGTCTTATGTTATATCTCCATCATTTCTTATGTTTTATCTCCATCATTTCTTATGTTATATCTCCATCATTTCTTATGTTTTATCTCCATCATGTCTTATGTTATATCTCCATAATTTCTTATGTTATATCTCCATCATTTCTTATGTTTTATCTCCATCATTTTTTATGTTATATCTCCATCATTTCCTCTGTTTTATCTCCATAATTTCTTATGTTATAATTCCATCATTTCTTATGTTTTATCTCCATCTTTTCTTATCTTATATCTCCATCATTTCTCATGCTATATCGCCATTTCTTATGTTATATCTCCATCATTTCTCATGCTATATCGCCATTTCTTATGTTATATCTCCATCATTTCCTCTGTTTTATCTCCATAATTTCTTATCTTATATCTCCATTATTTCTTATGTTTTATCTCCGTCATTTCTTATGTTATATCTCCATCATTTCCTGTGTTTTATCTCCGTCATTTCTTATGTTCTCTTTGCAGGTTACTTGATGCAGAAAATTTCCCTGTGCTCGTACAGTGATAACAAGCAAGGAAATATTACGTTTGCTACTGGGTTCACCTTGAACCGCCAATTATTGCTGAGTTATAGCAAACCTGATGAAATGTATATAACATGTCCATCGGGTTGTATCCGGGAGATGGGGATTGTTGCCGCGAGCTTTGCCACCCTTCTCAACACCAATCCAAACACAGCAACCCAGGTTAAGAAAGAGGAAGAACGGTGCAAGGATGGAGTTAAGAAATTCTGGGACAAGACAGTGGAGAGGAGAGGTAAGTGACCAGGGGTAGGTAAGTCCTCTCCATGTATAGATTAGCTGGATCTCACTGGCCAGCGCATTGGACACAAATGTACTGTAGTCAAATGTCCAATAAAGGGACTTGCACATTGCAGTTGATGGCAGCTGCTGGGGAGTAAGGCCTCATGCAGACGGGGTGATTTGGGATTGCTGGGGCAGGAATCCCAGATCTTCTGTTTAGATGCGACGGCATCTGTATGTGGCAGTCCGCATGTAATCGTATGTGATACAATTACAATACAAATGGGGGAATTCATCAAAACTGGAGCAGACAGAATCTGGAGCAGTTGCCCATGGCAACCAATCAGCATCTCTCTTCAGTTTGATTGGAAGTTGAGAAGTTGATTGGCTGCAGTGCGAATCTGCTCCAGATTTTCTCTACTCCAGTTTTGATAAATTCCCCCCATTGTGGTTTATAATACCGCTTTTTTTGTGCAAAAAAATTAATAAGACAGTGTCTTATTTTCGGGGAAACACGGTAGATTACTGTCACTAAATGGATCTCTAGTGATCTATGGTGATGTATTCCAAACCACACGTTATCATATACAATTACATGCGGACTGCCTCGGTCACCCGACCATTTGCTTGAACGAGTATAGTGGCTGCATCTAAACAGGAGATCTGGGATTCCTGCCACAGCAATCCCAAATCACCCCAGTGTGCATGAGGCCTACATTTATCTGACACAGGGGTGTCCCGAGGCTGGGTGACACCCGGAGCGGTAACCGGGTGTCACCCTGCCCATACGTCACCACTCGCGTGCGCGATGACGTCATCGCACACATGCGGCGATCTTTTGATACCTGCCGGCGGCCATCTTGGTGATGGACGCCGGCAGAGAGAGGAGGGGACAGTCACCCGGCGGGACAAGGTATGCCCCTGATCTGACATGTTCTTGAATCTGTATATCTTGAGAACTCTATTGGAGAAATATCTGGCATCACCCCCTGGCATCATTTTATGTGTTGGATAGTAACGCAGGAAGATCTCCCTCATGTCCACCTGGTAGTTTTGGGTGTTCATGACCATATTTGTGTGTTCCAGCTCTTCCTATTACATGCTCTTTCATTTACAATATGTAAAAAATCCAGCAGGAGTGAGGGAACTCCTCATAATGGCCACAGCAGGTGTGCAGAGCAAAGCAACAGGTTCACTTTAATTCTCCCTGCCCTATCATTTTGGTGGGTTCAAGTAATTTTCAGGCCTAAAATGTGGAATATAACCTGTGCAAAAAATGCAAAAAGGCTCTGGGCAGTGAAAGGGTTAAAGCGTTAACACCTGCAGTGGCAGCTCTTATCTTTCCATCCTGACCTCTACCCATGAAAGGTGTGAGTTGGCTGCCTTAAACCGAGAGTTTAAGCGAGAGTCCTCACTCTATTTTATATCACTTATCTCATTATATGCTCAGCTTGTGATTTTTCCTCTTCATATTGGACATTCTGACAATTTCTTCATGTCACAAGTTTTAGTGTAAAGCCAACAGTTCCACCTAGTGTCCACATCAATATTAGGGGAAGGTCCACAAGGATGGGACAATGTTTTTCTATGTCCCCCTTTATAATAAATGCCAATTTTTCAATGGAGGATAATACCTTGGATGCAAACGAGAACACAAGTGCATGTGAACCTTCATTGAGCTTTTAGAGTTCTGGGAGCCCCCGATATCTGAATGCCCGATATGTCATGGCTATCTCCAGTTCTGAGGTCGGAGCTCTGCCATGCTCTCTGCACATCTCTGTACAATGTGCTCTGTGATCAATAGAGAGACTTGCACTGCCCGACAGGAGATTCCCAGGGATGTATCTAGACATTGTGCTGTGTTAGGCACACCTAAATGATGATCTTTTTGCACAGGCTCCCTATAGGTAACCCAGAGTGCTCTGGGAATTCATTGTCCTGTATCAAATGTTTATGTGTAAAACAAAGATTGCAGATATATAATTAGCTCCCATCTCATGTGGAGGGACTGTCACTCTCTTTAATCAAAAGTGTCATAGAGCATGAAGGACCCAGTAATATCGTTACATTGTGGTAACGCTCTTGTTACATAAGTTCCATTGTCATTACTTTTAGACATGTGTGCTTCGTTTCGGAAAGATTCATTTTTAGGGAAATTTGTACATTCGGATGTATACGAGTTTCCGAATGACAGAAATAACGAATGCCAACGAATACCAATTTCCGATATTGAAAATTTCGGATGCATCTGAATTTTTTTCCCAAATTAAGTTTTATTCTGTTAAGCATGAACTTTAAAAAAAAAAAAAAACATTTTCGCTAGCGGTAGTCTGTCCGAATTTTCCTTACGAACAAATATTCGTTGCAGCAAAGTGACATTAGACAAAAGGAATAAAATGACACTTTTTTTCTTTATACAGTTCACAGAAAAAAGAAAAGAAAAAAAAAGCGTGAGGTTCTGCCACCAATTTATACCAAACCCTTTAGGTCTGGTAGGAATGTTAGAAGGGATCCCTTAATTTAAAAATAGAAAACGTGCGTGCAGTTCCCCCAAAAGTCATACCAGGCCCTTTAGGTCTAATAGGAATTTTAAGGGGAATCTTCCACCCCAACGAAATGAGGGAAAAAAATCGTGGGATCCCCCTAAACTTCCTACCAGA